TTTACAGTCACACATCTGGCAAGAAGATGCTCGACCCTGTCCGCGTATTGTTTGTCACGCGGACAACCGTGCTTTCCTCCGATGGTTTGTTTGCACTCCGATTGTTTTCGGTGTGTCGTGGGCATCATTTTCGGAACGGAGCTTTGCTCCCGTCGTTCAGAACGGAGAACGGATCTCTCGCCCCAGCGCGGGCCCCTTTTCTGGATCCGAGTCCTTTTTTTATCGTTGCCGCCGCCCCCGCTTCCCTTTTCCGCCTTACCCTGGTCCTCCTGCTCCTCTTGCTCCTTCCACTCCAGTTCCTGCTGCTGCTGTTTGTCCTCGTCCTCCTCCTTCCTCATGCTTCTCCGTTTCCCCCTGCTCATCCTCCTGCTCACCCTCCATCTCCTCCTCGCTCTCTCTCTCTCTCTCTCTCTCTCTTTCGCAGCCGCCTCGGCAGTGCCCTCTCGCGTTTTCGGTCAATCCGAATGGTGCCCCCGCCTGCAGCGCTGGCATCATTTCCAACTTGCCAGTCCTCCTGCATGGTTTTCTGGCTGCCCCGTTCATGCAGTCATGGTATGCAATTCAATGCCATGCTACGTGCTGCTGTTCTGCGATTCCATGCCTTGCTCTGCAATGCTGCGATGTGTAATGCTGGGCTACGCGGTGCCATGCCATGCCATGCTATATTGTCCCGTGCCATGGCATGGTATGCCATTCAAGGCTGCGGTGGGGGCGTTGGTTTAATGAATGCGCCAACGAGGCTTCAGAACCTGTGGGATTCCTTATCTGATGATAGCGGCAAAGCTATCCATGGCCGATCCACGATTGAATTTGCACGGATTCCTTACCCACGGGTTCTTTTTCCATTATCCTTTTCAGACTCTGGTAATATTTGTGCTCTTCGACATGCTATGCCATGCTTTGCTATACAATGCCGCACCATACTCGTTGGGGATCGTTGCCCTCTTCGACACCCGACTGTGCGAATAGGGAGGGCGGACGGGATCGGCGGGAGGGGTGGGATCGGCGGGAGGGGTGGGATCGGCGGGAGGGGTGGGACGCCAGACATGACGCGAGCGCACCTAGCTTGCCTTATCCTCTCTCACCTCTCTCTCTCTCTCTCTCTACGCCCCTACTACTTGGCATCGCTCGCACGTGTGCTCTTTTCCTCGGCAAGGACCATCAAGGAGCCTGTTTGTTCACCTTGCGAGGCATACGCGCACGACATCGACAACGGCGCAGGGAACGGACGTTCGCGCGATGGCGAGACTACGGTTGCACACTGTGAGTGCTCTGCCCTCTGGCTTGGAGACGTGTTGAGAGTGCCCCGCCCTCCCTTGAGCGTGGGTTTCACACAGGACTTCAGACGTTGGTGTGCCTCGGGTGCTGGTTTCCGATCCGAGCGTGTTCGGTCCTTCCACAGCGGTGCTGCCGCTGCAGGGCGGGCCTCGTGTTGGGATCGGGGCTTCGCTCCTGTCGTTCGGGATGGCGCTCTCGCCCCTCCGCGCGGGCCGCTCTCCCTGGACCCGGGTCGCTCAGCACCTTTCTCGCGCCCTCCCTTTGCCCCTCCTCCGCCTTCCCCTGGTCCGCCTGCTCCTCTCGCTCACTCCACTCCAGTCCCTGCTGCTGCCCTTCGTCCTCATCCTCCGCCTTCCTCGTCCTCCTTGTCCTCCTGCTCCTCCTCCTGCTCATCTTCCTCCTCCTCCTCCTCCGCCTCCTCCTCTTCCTCCTCCTCCTCCTCCTCCTCCTATGTATGCAGCTCCCATATTCCGATTGCGCACAAAAACGATGGGGTTTAGTTTGATGTTCCAGGTCCGCTATGGCACGCCTCCGCGCTTTGAGAAGGGATGGATGGAAGGAGTAGGATGGCAGAAATGGCGCGAGCGCACCTAGCTTGCCTCTCTCCTCTCTCCTTTTCTCCTCCTACCGCCTCCTTCCCTCCTCCTCCTCCTCCTCGTCCTTCTCCTCCTCCTCCTCCTCCTCCTCCTCCCTCGTGCCTCTTGTCTCTTCGCTCATTCCTTCCTCCATTCCTCCATTCCTCCATTCCTTCCCTCTTCCTCCCTCTCCTCCCTCCCTCCTCTCCTCTTCCCCCCTCCTCCTCCCTCCTCCTTCTCCTCCTCCTCATCCTCCTCCTCTCCTTTTTCCATCACCCTCCTCCTCCTCCTCCCCTCCTCCCTCCTCATCCTCCTCCTCCTCCTCCTCCTTCCCTCCTCCTCTCCTCCTGCTTTCTCTCCGCCTCTCCTCCTGCTCCTGCTCCTCCTCCTCCTCCTCCTCCTCCTCCTCCTCCTCCTCCTCCTCATCCTCCTTCCCCCTCGCGGGGGGAGGGGGAGGGGGTCGACTCCAGGTGCCACCGCGGCCGCGGCTGCATGTGCGGAGGGCTTCGCTGTCGCTGGCGAGCACCGCCCAGCCACGGCGCTGGTAGGTTGCCCGTGTCGTCTTCGCCGCCGCCGCCGTCGTCGCCGCCGCCGCCGTCGTCGCTCCTCAGACCTCTGACTGGTTGGTCCCCAAGTAGGCTTGTCCACGAGGACCTTACCTGGTTAAAGGTTGGTGCCTCCTGCTGTTACGTTGCCCGTTGCTCGGAGGTTCCTCGGGTTCCTCGTGTTCCTCGTGCTCCTCGGGTTCCCCGCCCCCGGTGCCCCCTATTGTTACGCTGCCTGTTTTCCAGAGGTTTCTCGGGTTCCCTCGGCTCCCCGGGTTCCCTGGGTTCCCCGGGCTCCCCAGGTTCTTCGGGTTCCTTTCCAAAGGAAAACCTCCAATTGAGGTCGCGCCGGGTTTGTTTTTTCGGTGCGAGTTTTTTGTTTTTTGGTTTGGAGTGTTTTCATATCTGGGGCTTGTTTTAGGGCCCTGAGGCCGTAACAAAAGCGGGTCTGGGACAAAACGCTGTCCCCCCTGGGAGGGGTCGACAGTTCCGGGGCCCGCAGACTGAAAAGTCAGATCGGGTCGCCGTAACCTTCGTCGCCGCTGTCGCCGTCCTCGTAGAAGGACCAGGAGGGAGAGGCTGAGGAGGAGGTGGAGGGAGGAAGAGGGGGGGGGGGGGGGCTGTGGCGGAAGCTGAGCGGAGACTCGCCAGGCTGAGGCGGAGGAGGAGGAGGGAGGGAGGGTGTGGAGGGAGGGAGGGAGGGAGGGAGGGAGGGGGGGGGAGGGAGGGGAGGAGGGCGGGAGGGCGGAGGTGGAGAGGAGGAGGAGGAGGAGGAGGGGAGGAGGAGGAGGGAGGAGGGGGGAGGGGCGGAGAGGAGGAGGGAGGAGGGGGGAGGGGGTAGGGGATAGGAGGAGGAGTGAGGAGGAGGAGGAGGAGGAGGAGGAGGAGGAGGAGGAGTGAGGAGGAGGTGGAGGAGGAGGAGGAGGGAGGTGGAGGAGGATAAGGAGGAGGAGAGGGAGGAGGAGGGGGACGGAGGGCGGAGAGGGGGGAGGAGGGGGGGAGGACGAGGAGGGAGGATGAGGAGGAGGGGGGAGGAGGAGGAGGAGGAGGACGAGGGGAGGAGGGAGGGGAGGAGGAGGAGGAGGAGGAGCAAGCAGGAGCAGGAGCAGGAGCAGGAGCAGGAGCAGGAGGACGTAACCGCAGGAAGCATTTAAGACCCCCCCCCTTCCGGCAAATCGATAACCCTTCCGCACCCTGGAAGCGTTACCTGGCACCAGGAGCCCTCCTCCTCCTCCTCCTCATCCTCCTCCTCCTCCTCCTCCTCCTCCTCTCCTCCACCCACGTCTATCATTGCATGAATTTTCCAAGCAGCAAGCGACATCCTGAGTCTTTCATGAGAGCCACGCAGATTTGAATTTCGAATTTCGATTGTAGCCCAGGGGCCAGGCCTCCGCGAATTTGTTGTGTGTCCGGGTGCTAAACCTATCGTGCGGTTATTTCGGCCCCTCGTAATATCGAATAAAAATGCGGTGCTAAGCTATCGCCGGGGGGTTTCTTAAATGCTTCCTGGGGTTAGCA